AATTACATGAAATGGAATTTGGAATTGCAGAGTTAGAAAGTAAACTAGGATGAATAGAAACATAATGTAAACTAGAATGAACAAATGAAAATTTGTTGTGTGATCCAATAGTTGAGACAGTGGAGTCAGGGTAAGAAGTGTGACATTTTGAACACAAGAAATAAAGTCCATTTTGTGCTCTACCAATCTCCAGAGGGCTCTTCATTGAAGGGTCCTGCATTAAACAAGAAGAAGAGTTGAAACTAATGACTCATTTATCATGAGAAACCAAGCAATGAACTGAAATCAAATTGAATCTAAAACTAGAAACAAACAGAACTTTGTACAAAGTTAATGAAGAATTCAAACATGCATCACCAATTTTTGTCACTTTTACTCTATAGTCATTTGGTAGGGTAACTAGGAAAGGGTAAGGTAATGGTCTACTGTTGATTAATAATGTTTTGTCGAAGGTCATGTGATTTGACGCCCCAGAATCTATGATCCATGAATTAGTAGACAACTTGGAGCACTTACATGACAAACAACCAATATCAGTAATTGAAGAAAAATAAGCTAGAGTACCTGCAAAGTTCACAGTTCCACCTATAATGTTGTTTGCAACTTCTCTAGCTGAATTTCCAGTGTTGTTCCCTCCTTGAGTCTGAATGTGCTCCAAGAGACTCACCAGTTGATCAAGTTACTGCTTGGTTATAGTTGTATTCCTCATGTCAAGTACATATTTGTCTTCAGTGCCCTTAGGACTCTTTCCTTTGTAATCACCACGAAAACCATGAGCAACAACTGATGTTCCTGATGCATTTTTACCTTTTGTGAACTTGAAATCCGATGGGAAACCATGAAGTTTATTGCACTTATCCTTTGTATGCCCAGCCTTTTTACAATACTCACAAAATATATTTGATATGTTAGGAGGTCTACTTCCCCCATTTCCCTTATAGGAAGAAGAGGCATAGTTTGTCCTGAAGTTTGTGCTAGAATTGGCAGCAACATTCACATGAAGAGAAGTGGAATCCAAGTTGAGTTTGCCATGAGGTTTGACTTCTCTGTGCCTTTCCTCATGTGCTAAAATAGAAAAGGCCTGAGCTATAGTAGGCAGGGGTTTCATCATTAATATGCTACCCTGAACTACTGTGTATACCTCATTTAATCCCGTGAGGAATTGAATGAGACGTCTATCTAGCTTAACCTTATGCATCTTCAACTTGCCTCCACAAGTGCACAAGCATGTGCACTGAGAACTGGTGTCCAGAGTGCTAAGTTCTGCCCACAGTTTGCGCATTTTGGTATAGTAACCAGTAACACCGAGATTCTCCTGAGTGAGTTCGTTGATTTCACATTGCAATTGATACAATTTAGCACCATTGGCTTGATCGTACCTGTCAGCTAATTCATCCCAAAGCTCCTTTGCATTATTGACATACTACAGGCTGTCGGCAAGGTCTTTTGAGAGTGAATTGAGAAGCCACGAAGTGACCATGCCATCACATCGTTCCCAGTGGGCAAATACAGTTGAATCTGGAAATGGCCTTGGAATTTTCCCATTGATGAAACCCGTCTTATTCTTCACTGACAGAGCTCGAAGGATTCCCCGTCTCTATGAATGATAACCTATTTCATAAAAAACGAGTGGAACAATAGCAGATCTGGCGCTTTTAGATAGATGCATATAGAAGACATTGGTGGATATGCTTGCAGCAAAATCGTGAACTAGAATTTGAGGAACAGGCTCCTGATCGAGATTGGGTTCCATGATTGCCAGAGATTAAGACGAAATTGAGAGAAGAATGAGTGCGGAAAGACGAGCGGAAAATGAATCTTACAGGTCTGATACCATGTCGAATTGAGGAGAAGCTGTGGAGAATTTCAGTTCTCCATTGATGAAGCTTCGAGAATAGAGAAGAAGGAAAAGAAGGGCAGAGCCCTGAGATCGATCGGGAGTAATTGGGGAAAATGAAAATTGTATTATCTCAACTGCAACCTTACAGTTTATACAAGTGTGTTATTCTCTAATCACAAGTAATTGTTGTAAAGTAAAACTAACTAATCACAACAAAAATAACTAACGTCTAACTAATCTGTCAGCTAAGCCGACTTACTCGATCATTAACTTAGAAGCTAAATGATCTATATCTCAACACTTTTACCATGTTCTAACACAAACAAATGCATAATGATGTATATGTGCCTTTGTTTTATTTTCACATATTTAACTATTTGGATCCAAAAAAAAAGGCTCAAATGGAAGTCATATCAAAATTTTAGGATGTCAACTATGTATTACATCAAAATTATTTACACCGTCCAACTTTTCTTTAAAAATCAATTTTTCTCCTCAACTATGAACAATAGTTATTTCCCCCCCTTTTTATCTTAATTGACTTTTTGAAACACCTATTTCACTCTTTGCATTATCAACCTTTGTCTTTTTTTTTTTTTACTTCTTAAAATCATATATAAAAATTAATCTATGAAACAAATTTCTATGAAAAAATAAGTATAATTTTTTCAATGAAAATATGAAAAATGAGAAATAACAATTGAGTATATTAGTTAATGATGTACTATGACGAAAAAAGCAAACAAAATAAAAAAATATTTTTTTAATAATCAAAACTCTAATATATATTTATATAAGTAAAAATAATAGGTAATAATAATTTTTTAAATATATTTCAATACAAGTAATATAAAATAATTAATAAAATAGAGGTATATTTTGTAACAAATTTCTAAAAGATTATCTATTTATATTATACGTATTTTTTAAATTTAAATAATATTAATATCGTTTATCTATATAGTCATTAAAGAATAAGAGAAAGTTGAAATATGCAGCTATATGCATATATACATATTTGGTGCATGTAATATTAAAATAACAATCATAAATAATAACATTAAATTTTGTGACAAATTGGTAAAATAATTATTCTACTTATGATATCAATGAGCTTAAATACAAATCTGTAAATATCTAGATTAAGAAAAATAAATATTATATATAATATAAATAGATATTACATAGATGAAAGATTGAAAATATCAAGGATAAAATAGACATTAATATGATAATCCAAGGTGACAATGATTTATAATTGAGGGGGTGGGGGAGGGGTTGATTTTTAAAAGGAAAATTGAGTAAATGATTTTTAATGTATTTACTCATTACCAATAACTTGTTGACCATGTTATGTTCACTACACTGATAATTACCAAAATTTGGTTGACCATGTTACGTTCACAACACTGATATTGGAAAGAGGAATTTTATTTTTTTTTAAAAAAAGGATTAAAAAAACAATTGATATTTAAAATTGAAAGTTAGATGCAACAATCCATTTCAAAGATGCTTCAAAAAAGCAAGTGGTTTTCCATCTCATTTTTTCAACTCTTTTATTTGATTCTTTCTAATCCATTTGGTTACCTGCATTAAAGCATAATTAGTAAGATCAACAAACTTTTAGATGCACTAACCTAATTTATAATACTAGAAACCCCAACATGTGTTAAATTGTGGTAACATATTATATTCACTAAATAACTTAAGAGAAAGAACCGTGATTTACTTTAAAGTGTCACATTTCTGTTCTTTTTTGTAATGCTTCTACTTTTAGTTCTTTATATATATATACTTTTAAAGTGACACATTTCTGTTCTTTTTTTGTAATGCTTCTACTTTTAGTCTATATATATATATATACTTCATCTGTTCCTTTTTTTTATTTGTCAAATTTTGACTTGACATATCTATTAAGAAAATTGTGATTGTATAATGAGTTTATCATTCTACCCATATTAATTGATAAGGTCCCAAGTAGATTTAGAGCCCGTTTGGATTGACTTAAAAAAATAGCTTTTAAGTGAAGAATAAAAAGTCAAACTGAAATGACTTTTAAGTCAAAAAAATAAAAAGTAGAGGAAGATCTACTTTTGATTTTTAACATTTTTAAAGTTATATTTAACCTTGTCAACTAACTTATTTTAAATTATTTTTATATTTGTCAAACAAATTAAGAAGTCAAAAACTGACTTATAAGTAGTTTGAACAACTTTTAAGCCAATTCAAACACCCTCTTACTCACTATATTTTTTAAAAACATTAACTCAATGATATAGTAGAAAAAAGAAAATTATCCTATCTTGGTTTGTCAAAAATGATAAGTAAAAGAGGAAATCAAAGTAGAAAATATTTGACAAGTAAATAGAGCCTAATGAAATATATGTTTTTAAAAATTTTATGTTGTAATTTTTTACTTAATTTTTGAATATATAAAAGACTATAAAAAATATAAGGTATAAACAAATTTAACGGAGAAATGACCAAAGTATTTGCCAAAGGAGACGTGTTGACTTGTTGTGTGATAAAATAATATATTCCCTCTATTTCATACATTAACTATTAATGGAATTTCTGAATTTTTTTTCATGGTTCAAAATGATAAAATTATTCAAGGTCCAAGATAAATATTTGATTTTTTCTTTTCATATTTGCCTTTTTTCATTTTACAAAATTTTATATTTTTTAGAAGATGAATTACACTACTTATAAAATTATATACATGATTTTACAAAACATGATAATGAAAAATATAATTAAATTATATCGGTGAATACTTTTCTTAATAGGCACAAGAGGGAATAGCATCAACAAATAAAAACAAAGAGAGAGAGAAAAAAAAAAAAAAAGAAAAAGAAAGCGCAGGATTCCATTAGTTGAATACAAAATTTGATCACCTAATATTTTTGTTTATTCGTTTTATATAAGCATCTGAAAAGTACTACTTTAATTAAAAAGAAAGACGAGCGGGAATTATTCGACTCTCACGGTAAGCAGTGAAGATGTGAGAATCAGAAAATGATTGAAGTGTCTGAATATTTAATTTAAACATAACATTATACGACTTGTTCAACAATAAATCTCATCTTCTCTTCTCACCATTTTAGATATAGATCAACCTAACACTTTCACTCTCATCTCTCTCTTTGGAAAAATTAGAATGGGGAGTAGTTACAATTATTACAGAATGTTTGGGTGCTTTAACCGTAAATTTAAGATCAGAGAGACGGAGCCACCACCGGATGTGAGGGATGCATTTTTCCGGTACACCGGTAAAGGTATCCAGATGAATGCGGATCAACTTCTCCGATATCTGGTGGAGGTACAAGGAGAAGAAGGATGCACTATTAAGGATGCGGAGCAAATTATACAGCATGTTGCTAGTCGGCGGCACCATCTCATCAGGCGTCTTAACCATTCACTTGAACTCGATGATTTCTTTTTTTATCTTTTTCAGGATGATCTCAATGGAGCAATCAAATCTCAGGTTCTTCTTCCTCTTTTTCATTCCAATTGTATTTGTTTTGTTCTCTTCATTCCCAATGACTTTTGATTTAATTTGTCGTCGTTCCAGGTACACCATGACATGACTGCTCCATTGCAACATTATTTCATCTATACAGGTCATAATTCCTACTTAACTGGAAACCAACTCAGCAGCGATTGTAGTGAAATTCCTATAGTTAAGGCTCTAGAAAGAGGTGTTCGGGGAATAGAGCTCGATTTATGGCCAAGCTCCGGGAAAGATAATATTCATGTTCTTCATGGAAGGTACAATATGCTCCACATTCTAGCACTGTTTAACATGATATCAATTTAAATACAACGAAAAGAAGTAGATCAATCTGAAGTAGTATTTCTTATTTAATAAGTCTAAATAGATTATTGTTATGAATCTGTGTTATCGAATGTATTGTTCAAAGTAACTAAGCATTTCTTTTGCTCTCTGATGTCCAATGTCTAAAGTTCCTAAAATTGACGGGTTGATTAATTAACTTTGTTGAATGATTCCAGTTCTAATCATTTGCAGGACCCTGACTACACCAGTGCCACTTCTTAAATGCTTAAAGGCCATTAGAGACCATGCTTTTGTTAAATCGCCTTATCCTGTCATAATCACTTTGGAAGACCACCTGACACCAGATCTTCAAGCTAAAGTTGCAGAGGTGAGAATTCATATCGCATTGTGGATAACTGCTCGAAATATTAAATCTTTCTTTTTAATCTAGTGTTAACTCCTTTGTTTCTCTAGATGGTTATCCAAATCTTTGGAGAAATGTTATATTATCCTCAATCAGAATGCTTAGAGGAATTTCCTTCACCTGAAGGGCTTAAGAATCGCATTATTCTCTCTACAAAGCCACCCAAAGAGTACCTTGAGTCAAAGAATCAGAGAGACACATCTCCAGTGGGAAAAGATTCATTTAGAGAGGACCTTTTGAAGAAGGAGAAATCAGAAATTGGCGTCGAGGATCATGACACTGATGAAAGGGTAAAACGACATTAAATGGGTCTCTTGCTTTTCTTATTGTGAGATGCTGATCTGCTTTTATGTGCCATTTTTCTTATCTGGACACTAGAGTGACAGTGATCAAGATGATGAAGACGGTGATACCTCCAACGATCAGCAATCATCCCAACCAGAAGCACCTAAGTACAAGAGTCTGATAGCAGTTCATGCTGGGAAGGCAAAACATGGTTTGAAACGTGCACTAAGAGAGGAAAGTAATAAAGTCAGTCGACTTAGTTTGAGTGAACAAGAAGTTGTAAGAGCTGCAGAAAATTATGGAACTGATTTGGTTAGGTACTCCACAATTTTGTGCATATAAAATTGAATGATTGATGAGAATGCTCTAGCTCTTCTTGACTGATTTTCCTCTTCGTTCTTTCATTTGCTAGGTTCACACAGAAGAATATTCTAAGGGTATACCCCAAGGGAACAAGAGTGACCTCCTCAAATTTCAAGCCTATGACTGGCTGGATGCATGGAGCTCAGATGGTAGCATTCAACATGCAGGTTAGTTTGAACTCTTAGTGCTGGTGCATCCCGAGGCAGATGTAGAGTATTGACAGCGGGTTCATTTTAAGCCGAGCATAAATATATGTGTGAAAATCTACAAAATTGCAACAAATTGTAGATATTAATTCATAGCTTAGTGGTTTCAATGCTAAAATGTATGTCTGTACAATGTTGTGAGGAAATATCCAAGAATTTGTCACGTTGTTATGTGCACTAACATCATGATTAGAATGTGGTGTTTGTCAGAAGTTCTTGTACAAGCTGGTGTATGTCAACCAAAATGCAAACTAGCATCTTAAGATACTGTATCAGCTCTGCAGCTTGAGCTTGCTTGACAAACGTTACATTTAAGGGCATCCATGCCTTACATCTCATTTGTCGATTGCTTCTGCATTTCTTTGTGTCCCTAAGAAACTCCTCTTTCTTAAATGTGTTAGCAATGAATATGATTTAATAGATAATTCAACTATTTTGTCTCCTAATTTTATCATTTTAATCAATTTGGTTCCATATCTGCTGTCTAATTGCTAACTGTATAAATAGGGATATGGGAAGTCACTTTGGATGATGCACGGGATGTTTAGGTCTAATGGAAGCTGTGGCTATGTGAAAAAACCTCATTTTCTCATGGATAAAGGCCCACACAATGAAGTATTTGATCCTAAAGTAAAATTGCCAGTGAAGAAAACTTTACAGGTAAGCAAAATGTGTTCACATGTGGAGAGCTTAAAAAATTTCAAGATGCTAAATATGATGGTATTGCTTAAGAAGTATTCTTCTTTTTTTTAAAATTCTGCAGGTTAGAGTATATATGGGAGATGGATGGCGCTTGGATTTCAGCCATACACACTTCGATGCTTATTCACCACCAGACTTCTACACCAAGGTTAGTGACAGTGACTGTTCCCTCTTCCATGACTCATTTGCTTACCTGAACTAACACATTCGTAGCTCTGCCCCTGTCCTAACCTCATAAGGTGTTATGATTCTCGTTTGGTGTGTCCTCGCCTTTCTAACTTTACATATTTGTATGGTCATTGATGTTCTGCTTCATACTCCAAGAGGCTGCAGGAACTTATTATAACTTCATTGATCCTTGTGTGGCAGCTATATTTAGTCGGAGTTCCTGCAGATACTCGTAAGAAAAAGACAAGGATACTGGAGGATGACTGGTGTCCCGTATGGGATGAAGAGTTTAATTTTCCATTGACAGTGCCAGAGCTGGCTTTGCTTCGAATTGAAGTACGAGAATATGACATGTCGGAGAAGGATGATTTTGGTGGACAGACATGTTTGCCTGTCTCAGAGTTAAGAACAGGGATCCGATCAGTCCCTCTGTATGATAAGAAGGGTCATAAGATGAAATCTGTTAGACTTCTCATGCGATTTCAATTTCTTTGAACTCCAAAGTTATTTTCCTATTAGGATTTTTCTCTTATTATACACACGCTTCAATTTGTATCCCTCATGTAATTGCTGCAAGTCCAGCTTTTGTACAGCGGAGTGATATCTCATTGCTGTATTGTTAGGAAGAGAAACAAAGCTTCCCGGATGAAGCTATGTGATTCTGATTTTGTGACTCTTGTTTTGTTCTCTTCTTAACGTTGGCATAAATATTCATGCACCAAAATGACAGATTTACTCGAGATCATCTCAGATGGTCATTCAATCTTTTTACAGTCAATAAATTTTGATTTTTAACTCAATAGTCCTTCATGATTCAACTATGAAACTTTAATTTTTAACTCAAAAAGTCAGTCAACTATGAACAGGAAGAGGATTGATTTATTCATTGGCATATTCAATATAGAAAGAAGACAAACTCTCAAACCAAAAAAATATAAAATTTGCAGATGAGAATACTTGAGAAAATTCTTTTGCCGAGGATGAAATGTTTCAGGTAAATCATTTGACATTAATTCTTGCTTGTATTACAAAATTAGCTTAAAGAAAAAATTGACATTCATTTTGGATGAATCATTTGACATTCGTTAAGTTTAAAAAAAACTATGAAAGGAAAAATAAAATAAAATTTAACCTACAATTAACTTCCAGTCTACCATATTAGCTGGAAAAATTAGTCGGGCAACCCCTCAAAATTTTAACTCATGCTAATTGGCCCGATTTGAAAATAAGACGAATCTTTTTTTTTTGAATTTTATCTTTTAAGTAATAGTCTGGAGCAACAAATTATGAATGTTCTACGAGTTAAATATTTAGTGTAGTTTTATTGGGCCTGTTCACAACACATAATATATATATACATATTCTCTTAATATAAAAAGGCCTAGGTGAACAACTTCAACAGTCAGTTTCAAGGTTTTTATTTTATCATTCATTTAAAAGGTCATGTGTTCAAACGAGGTTGGTTACATATGATTTGAACTCACCCAGCGTTAATAACTTAATATGATTTTTTAATTTTATAATGTACCGACTTCAATGCATGTAGTTTCACACGTTACATTCGACCAAAAAGGAAGAAGCAGAGAAACTCAATGTTTAAAATGTCTCAATCAGTAAATCGGATAACTACATTATCATAAGCCGACTTTTAGAGCAGACCAGCCCTTGTGGCCCTGCCATAATTAATCGCCTTTGAAATTTACTAAACAGATGGCAAAAAATACAAATTGTGTACTATTTGTTAAATGTTGAATGGTCGGTCACCTATACTTTATTGAATACCCAATTAATTTTGTTTTTCAACACATTTTTTTTAGTAATATAAACTACTCAACGCATAGCGAAAAGTAAGTTTGTTTAAATTAGTTAACACGACGATCGGATCCTGCCTGAGCAAAAACGCAAATCGTTTTCCGTTCTGGTAACAATGTCGAAACAGACGTACAAAGTCGGATTCTTTTTCCGGCGGCAGTTTACCATGGCTGCCGCCGAAGCTCCTGCAGACATTAAGAACCTATTTAAACGTTATTCCGACGACAGCGGAGTTATGAGCGTCCAGAATCTTCATCGTTTCTTAATTGAGATTCAGAAGGAGAAAAATGCGAGCTTAGAGAACGCTGAAGCCATTATCAATAATCACGGCGGCGACTCCAAGCAGAAAGGCCTCCAGCTCGATGGCTTCTTCAAGTGTCTCTTTTCTGATGTTAATCCTCCTCTCGATCCTAAAATCGGGGGTACTAATTTTAATTTCATGAACAATATTAGTGAGTTTTCTTTACAATTTTTCAATCAAATAGTTTGACTTTATGATCAACCAAATCCTTCCCACTTACTATATAAAAATGATTTATATTAGGGAAGACATTTCCTTCATATCATACACACCTTTCTCAGGATGATCTAATTTAACTTGACACAAAATTTAAGAAAATTTGTTATCCTAAAGTAAAGTTATGTCAAATGTATTAAAATATTATTTAATTTTATAGCCTTAAATATGATACCTAGAAAGCTAACTTTAACTTGTTGTCAAAAAAAGAAAGAGGGAAAAAGACTAAAAAGAAAAGCAAGTCAATCTTTTTGAAACGGAGGGAGTATATTACACTATTTGTGATTTATTTAGATGTTCTGACACCACTCTATTTGGATAAATCTCATGATGTACTCTTCTTTGGATTCCAGATTCACCATGAAATGACTGCACCTCTGTCTCATTACTACATATACACAGGCCATAATTCATATCTAACTGGGAATCAACTGAGTAGTGATTGCAGTGATGTCCCCATAATACAAGCTCTTCAGAGAAGTGTCAGAGTAATTGAATTAGATATTTGGCCAAATTCAGACAAAGATGATATAGAAGTTCTACATGGAAGGTGTGTCATGTTCTAGTTTTTTTCTATCACCCTTAGCTTTCTATATTTTTTACTGACAAATCGAAAGCTAGACTCTAAAAGTTTGCAGCACATTTGCTTTCATTTGCACTAATAATGAGCTAAAATTAACCTCATAAATAAGCTTATGCTTTTGCGTATAATGTACAAGCATATCTTTACTTATATTATATAGACATGCTATGCATTTCTACATGAATATGAAGCACTAAACCAAGAACGCTAACTGATTAAGACCAAGAGTGTAAGACTATAGCTGGCAAGAAAATGGACAAGTTCTACTTACTAAATCCATATTATGTGTGTGCTAAAGCTTTTGGAAGGTTCCTGTAATTGTTGTGTGCAGTTGTGCTTTAGGTGCCTTGTTGCTTTGGTTAATGAGCTTCTTTTCCTTTTAATTATTTGGAGGAAATTTGCATTTTAAGAGTTCATACAACACATCACAACATCTCCAGATTGTTATATTACTATGGTACAAAATTTTTACCATAAATTAATTAGATGAAGTTTGAGAAAATCATTTCAGGTGGGAAGTGTTAACAGATAATTAATTAAAATGAAAGTGCGTCCCTCTCTAAGTATAGTTTAAACTTTTAGATGAGACGGCTCACATTATCTAATTAACTGATAGTTCCTAAAAGACCATGTTGTTGGCACCATTTTAGAGCATGCCATGTCTGAGGAAAAAGGGACCTGCAGTTGTTTTATGAAACCAATCAACCAAACTGAACCTGCTGGACTTGTGTTGACCAGATATCCAGCAGTCAGTAGCTGATATTACTGTTGAATAGATTAGTCAGAGATGCAATGGCCATGGAGATACCCAATGAACAGATTATGACAAGGAAAATATGATATCATGCTTACATTTGAGTTAAAAGGTGAAAGCAATCTAATGGGGATCATATTCAATCTGATGTGAGAAAAAAAATATGTTTATTAATTGTCTGTTTGCATGGCGGATGGTTGGCATCATCTTGTATCCTCGCTCATATAAGACAGCTGGGAAGGTGAAAAGGGGCTACTATGTCAACAAGCAGGCAAGAGGAGATCGGGGATGTAGATTGGTGGTGAAGCAAAGTGTTGCTAGAACAATTTCATTTTTGTCATATGGCGCAATCCAAATGCAGTGATTACAGGATGATCCTGTATGCATTTCCATCTAAGAAATAGCCTGAAAATGTCTTCATGATTCTTACTCCATAAGAGTTTTAATATAAAGCAGTTAGCACAAATTTCAAGGAAAACATTAACAGTTACATGCTGGATCCTAAGAACTAGAAACATGACAACTTTTTCCTTTTTATGACTTACAAGATAATTAAACTAAAAGGCCCTCTAACAAGCTGGAATCACCTAAGATGTGAATTTATGATTTTAGGACCAACAGGAGCTTTCCCTAATTGTAATAGAGATCTGGTGGTATTATGCTGACCTTCTTTTTGGAAAAGGACATAGCTTTTAGTACCGGAGTTGGTAGAGGCTAACGTCTGCTGCCTTCATACAGAGAGAAATGGCTATCTCTCTATTACAGGATAAACATTTCTAGTTCTAGAAAACAGCCCAAAGGAAAATTTTATAGTGCTAGGTCAGTCATCACTGCTGAATTCAAGAGTAGGCTTATTTTACCAGAAGTATTCAAAATTTCAAACCTATCACAATCCTTTACGATTTAATATCAGAAAGTAATAGCTCTTGGCTTACCTTAATTCTTGAAATTTCTTTGAAGTATACTTTTCTCCTCAAGGTTGAATTCAAAAACTGCAGAAGACTAGCTAAAACTTTTCTTAATTTAACACTATATGTTATTCATAATGAGGTTTTGGGTTTTTTTAAACATGTGAATATTCAGATTGAGTTCCCCTTATAGTGGTTGTACTTTTTCATTCTCATTGCAGTTTTGAGTGTTACTTTTTTCACACAGGACACTGACTGCTCCAGTGGCGCTAATCAAATGTTTGAGGTCTATCAAGGAGCATGCCTTTTCTGCATCGGAGTATCCTGTTGTAATAACACTTGAAGATCATCTCACACCAGATCTTCAGGAAAAAGTGGCCGAGGTGTGTATATGTGCGTTTTCTGGATAAGATTACGGCCTGTTTTGATCATAATAATGCTTTTCTGACTACATACTAGATGATCACCCAAACATTTGGAGACATGCTGTTTTCTCCTTCAGAAAGTCTGAAGGAGCTTCCTTCTCCGGAGTCACTGAGAAAGCGTGTTATGATATCAACTAAGCCACCAAAAGAATACTTACAATCCAAGGAAGTTAAGGAAAAAGATGACACAAAGAAAGAAGCTGAGGTGTGAAAATTGCATTACTAGTTTCTCAATCCAGTTATTCGTTGTGTCCACTTCGTCACCAAATTCTTTGATTGACCTACCACACAATGTTTTCCAGCAGGATGACATTGATGAAGAAGAAGATGAAGATGAAGATGATGAAGAAGATCCAAAGTCAGAGAAGAAGGCGGCTTCAGAATACAAGCGCCTAATTGCCATTCATGCTGGAAAGGGGAAAGGAGGACTATCTGATTGGTTGAGGGTTGACCTCAATAAAGTAAGACGGCTGAGTCTCAGTGAACCAGAACTTGAAAAAGCTGTAGATACTCATGCAAAAGAAATTATCAGGTATTTCTCTTTATTCATCCATCAATTGGATACAAAGTTCCTCTGCTGTTTGTGATGTTAGTTATGTAATGGTGAATTGATCTATACATGTTATGTATAGCTAGAACATCTCAATGGAAGTTGAATTACTAACACACTGACTTTAACATTTCATTTGCTCCTATTCTTTATTCTCATTTTTGCATGAATAAATTAAGATGTCTGAGTTTAACATATCTTCTACTTCAAAATATTTGGCTGTAGCAGAATTGACTTGTCTTATTGTGTCTGATATAGTGTACAAGTTTCCATGTGCATGCACGTGAAGGTTTCTGCAATTTTCTTATACCATGTATATGTAACTTACAACTGTGCATATGCAAAGAAAACAACAACATCAAACCCGGTGTAATCTCACAAGTGGGGTTTGGGGAAGGTAAGATGTACGCAGTGTCACCCCTACCTTTATCGGGTAGAGAGGTTGTTTACGATTAACTCTCAGCAACCCCCTCCTCCTTTATCCGGACTTGGGATTGGCAATGTGAACAAGCTCTCACAAACAAGTGCAATAAACGAAATTAACTTTGAATAAGTAGGTTTTAAGATGTTAAGGCCATATTCAAGAAAATGTGAGTACATTAACGGATAGGTTGGAAAAGGAAACTCACCAAGTTAAGAAAGGGGCTAATCTAACTTATTTATCAAGTTGAGGACAACATTTTCATAGTGAAAAGATCAAGCCTAGGACCAGGGAATTCACCATCTCCAGAGATAACATTTTAATTAATTGTCTAAGCAATTTACTCATATCGTGCATATCCCAAGAGGACATCTTAATTAATTGTGTATATCCCCATGATGGTTTGTTGTAGGTTCACTCAGCAGAACTTGCTGAGAATATACCCAAAGGGCATACGAGTTGACTCATCCAATTATGATCCTTTTGTTGGTTGGATGCATGGAGCTCAAATGGTAGCATTTAATATGCAGGTTGGGCTTCTTTCTCCGTCCTGTAGAAAGAAAAGTAAAATTGTGTAATCATTAGGTTAATTAGAGAGAATAATTTTTCATGCATTTTCAGCTATCCTCTTCTTATTTCTTCGTTGCTGATATTTTTTATGTGAATATAAGATTTCAAACATGACTTGTGCCCTCTTGAAGATTCCTATTATCTTTTAGGTAGCCAACCTTTTGTTTTGTGTTAATAGCATAGGCATAGTAATATCATAGTCCTTCTGTCCCATTTATATGATGCACTTTCTTTTTTAGTGTGCCAACATTTTCTTTTTAGTCCGTTCCTAAAAGAATGACAATTTCTACATTTGAAAAAAATGTACTTAAACTTTCAATTTCACCCTTAGTGACAAGCTTTTATAACCACACAAATATTATTATGATATATTTAAAACTACAAATTTCAAAAGTCTTATTGTGACCCAAATGTTATGACACTATCAAATCATGCCACTTGAATTGATACGGAGTGAGTAGCAAATATGGTTAAATGTGTGTTATAGATTTAAGACCGAGAATCTATCTCCCGAAAACTAAATTGTCTAAAACTTTCGGAGGGAGGGAGGATTAGACTTTATTGTTATTTCTTCTTTGTTTTGCATGTTTATCAATTAACATAACAACTTACTGTTGTAAGCAAAAGCTAATACTTGAGTATTTCTTTAAAAGTGCAATGTTTTGAATACTAGAATAGTTGGTTACTTTGAATCCTAACCACATATCAAAGGAATTGTGAGTGGTGAAATTTAGTGAAAGAATTAGCATGTTCCCATTTCTTGAGAATTGGAGAGGAGCAACACCCATAAGTATGAGCCCCATTTATTACTTGTGTACTAGAAGCTAAGCTTCATATGAAATAGATTTCCGTGTGAACGGTTTTGTTTGATTTAGTCACCAGTTATGCCAAGTTAAATGCTATAAATTTGGAATTGAAATCATTTGATTCTTGGTTGATAGTTTCTTTTACTATTGTTGGGAATGGGAATAAACTTCAAATTAGACTGCACCCTTTCAGTAACGATCCTTTGGATTGTTTAACTCTAGTCTCTAAAACATGTATTTAACCTGACGGGTGTTATTCATTCGCATCCTGTTAGTAACTAATTACCAAAGTTCCAAGGAAATAGGTGCTAAGTAAGTGTCCTATGACAGGGTTATGGAAGATCACTTTGGTTGATGCATGGTATGTTCAGGGCTAATGGTGGCTGTGGATATGTTAAGAAACCTGATCTACTATTGAAAGCTGGTCCCAACAACGAGGTCTTCGATCCTACAGCAAATTTGCCTGTCAAAACTACACTAAAGGTAAATGAGGGATGGAAATTTCCTCGTTGACGTAGTAGGATGTCATTCTTGTAACTTAAGTTTCATTGTTCTTGAAACTGATCCAAGTCTTCCTGCATTAAGCAGGTGACTGTATATATGGGTGATGGGTGGGACAAAGACTTCGATCAGACACACTTCGACACATACTCACCTCCAGATTTCTATGCAAAGGTAGATGAATAATACTTACCATCGATCGTTATCCTTCAATACTCTTTGTCGTCTTCTTGCAAAGGTAGATGAATAAAATACTGAATGGTTAAGATGTAAAACTATGTGCAGCTAGGAATTGCTGGAGTTCCTGCTGATGAAGTAAAGAAGAGAACAAAGACGATGGACGACAATTGGATACCAAGCTGGGATGAGCAGTTTGAGTTTCCACTAACAGTTCCTGAGTTGGCTCTACTTCGTATCAAAGTTCTTGATTATAATTTGTCTGACAAGGATGAGTTTGCTGGCCAAACATGTCTACCTGTGGCAGAGCTGCGACAAGGTATCCGAGCAGTACCACTCTACGATCGGAAAGGAGAGAAGTACAGTTCTGTGAAGCTTCTCATGCGTTTCGAGTTTATATAACCTTAGGACCATTGTAGTTCTTGAAATGGGAGCTTCACATACTTTGCTAGTTTCATCTATGTGAAGTGTAGCAAAGTTTATAAACTATATACAACCACATGCAAAGTTGTAAGATATTTATCTACCATCAGATAGAGTTCACACAGACTGATGGAAATAAGGTTACTTAAACAAAAAACAATAAAATACTGTGGGAGCAAAAGATGGGAAGATTGAAGATAAAAAATAAGATTGGTGAAATTTGAGAAATAAATTCCAAAATCACCTCGTGTATATGTTGCCCATTACTTTAATCCATATCAAATTGCTTAATTAAGAACATATTCCCCCATTAGAAGTCAAGGCCTTAGCTTATGCCAATTTGAGCCAAGTTTTAAGTCTTCCGAAAGCTCTACCACTTTTGAACGTCAAATGAGTTCAGTCAATACAAAAACACATTCTATAATGTTAAATGAGTTCAATGATGACTTACATTAACATATCAATAACTGTCTAAAAAAGTCAACAGCAAATCCACCCTAATCTCTAAGGTCAAATCTAGATTTTTCTTTCAAAATTGGGTTATACCCATTTCTTGGGGAATCCATATTTAAAATTTCTACCCAAACTAGAGTAATGCTTGAGCCTCATGGATCATAGTAAATTTGTTTTATTAATTAATTAGTTTATTTCATTTATTTATTTCTTTTCTTTTGTCTTTGTTTTTAGCTTTGGCGATTGAAAGAGAGTATGAGCTCATTCTACTCTATCTACTCAGAAAGAAAGTTTAATTTGGTGTTGATTTTAAAGGTTCTTAAACTCTACAACTAAGCCAGTAGCTAACACAATAGATAGGGGATCTCTTATGACACACACTTATGCAGATGCAGTTGTGATGCTGAACCAAGTTACTAAGGTGAATACAACATGACACAAAAGGGAATCTGATGTGTTTGTTGTAACTTATTCGAAGGGCATGTCGTTTGAGAAGCACCGAAGAGATGAAAAGTGTGATCAGGACCTCACATGGTAAAGCCTTGTGACATGATGAATGTGACTCCGATCTTAATGAGGAGGCAATTTTTTTGAACAACCAAGCGGAGTGGGGTGGGGGGGGGGGAGGTTCGAACTAATGCTCAAGGGTCTATTCGAGATTCTTGGCACCAAAATCAAGAAAACCAAGGTTGGAACTATTATAAGGATAACAACTACGACTAGCCTAGGTATAGAGAGCATGGCAACTGAAGGAACAAAGATAGGTATAAAAGTTATTGAAGTGATGTCTATTGAAGTTATAGAGAGCATGGCACCTTATTACTTAACTGAGCCTAAGCAATGCCTGCATTGCCCACTATACTAATCCTCACTCATTAATATAGACTTTTACACATAAGACACAAAGTCACTCTCAACTATGTTCTTAGAATGATTCACACAAGTTTTGAAACGTTTCTAAAACAAGCGAAATGAATCCTACAATATAAGCACAAATACAAGCAATCACAATAACAACAGGTTCAGGAAGCAATATTCAGTCGATGAGGTCCCTTGCTATTTTTGAATCTTAAATTTCTCTCTTTGAATGAATGAATTGAAATGTTGTTTGTCATGTGAAATATATCAGCCATGAAGAATTATTATCCTTTGGACAAACAGCCTCATCCATTATGATTGGTTTAGTACGCTGACGACCTCACCAACCTCTGACAAGACAATTTTCCAGCTGTAGCACATTGCCTTGGACGAGAACACTTTGCAGAGGACCAGGTCCCTGCATTTGTGAGGAGATCATCAAAACATTTGGAAACAGTTAGGCTCATCAACCTAGTTGACTAATTCTCACTCCACTACCATCAAGCAATTGAAACAGCAAATGGGGCAACTTTCTGCATCTCTAAACCAAGGAAAGGCTGGTACTTTATGTAGTGATGCTGTAGAAAACCCAAGAAATGACAATCATTGCATGATAGTCACTACTAGAAGCAAAAAATAGGTTGATGTGCAGCCCAAACTAGTTGTTGTTGATGAGGATGGAGAGGTTGTTGCAGATTTTAGTGTTGAGTAGAGCAACATGGCAGATCCTAAAGAAAGAGCAGAGGTTAATGAGAAACAATAGATAGCTAAAAGTCTCCAATTGATATAAAAAAAGACTAGTGTTAATAAGGGGAAGGAAAAGGAGGTTCCAATGGTTTTGACTCCATCCCCAGGTCTCCACCTCACTTCTTACAACACTTGAAGAAGAAAGTGGAAGTTAAGAAATTCCACAAATTTATATCTGTAGACTCAAGATTTTGGGAACATGCATTTAGTGGAAACACTTGAGAAGGTATGCAAACTTTATGAAGGCTCTTGTGACAAAGAAGAGAACTATGGGCTTTAAACCATATGATAATTTGCAATTGTAGGGCAATTGCCTCTCATTCTTTGGTTCGGATAAAAGGGAGATCCTGGTGCATTCATTATTCCTTGCACTATTAAGGCGTTCAACTTTACAGTGTATCTATTGAAGAATGATACATGACCCTCTCCTTCGACTTTTTTGGCTTTCGAAGTTTGGACGGCTATGATAGTTGTAATATACAGGAAAAGTTCCCACATTGGTGGGACAAACCATCTTTTAGATCCTTTTAAAGCCTATCCCATTTAGTCTATTCAATTGAGTAAGTCTTACTTATGTATATATACTAGTTCTCGAACCAGTGTGCTAATTAGTATAAATTTCTTAAAATAATAGAGAAGGGAATGAGCAGATGTGAAAATTTTAAAAAAATGACCAAGCAGAATAAGTTGCATAATATAAATCAAAGTTTGAAACTAATATAAAAAGAATATAACTTTGTTGCAAAAAGTTCTAAGAGTACACCAAATATTGAGTATTTAAAAATAGAGAAGGGCCTAAAATGACCCTCAACTATTTGAGTTGGTACAAATCGTTAGCTTTGCAAGGATTTTCTGAAATCGTTAGCTTTGCTAAGCTATACATTAACGGAAAATCACCAATTATTTGTAGGTATTTGAATAGAAGGTATGTGTTCTATTTAGCTATAACTATTAAATACTAATAATGTTAATTCCCATCGATTTATATATGGCATAACAAGCCTTTATATAAATAAGACATTGTGTTTGAGTCTCAATGCACCATATTGATGATATAATAATGACTAAGGTAAAATAATATATTTTGGATGAAATTAGTCATGAAACATGTCCCATTAAAATCGCTTCATTCCTTAAAGTGAATGTGGTAGTAGTGCATAATATGTCTAAAAGTAAATAAGTGATTGAATATTCACATGAATGTGGAATGAGATACTAAGTTCTGTAACGATCCAAAGTACACCCTTGACGTAACATGTCGTATACGACCCCAAGAGTCCCTACACAAGCCACTTAGCATACATCATACAAGATGATAGAAGTAAAGAGTTCAAAGTCATAGTTTTATTCCATAAAAGATCTTGACAAAGTGGAAGTCTAATCATAAGTCTCGATAAGCCATCTGAACATTTAAAAGAATTGGTTGGGACGTAACCCATGCACCACGTACATCATCTAAAAAACTAAAGAAAAGACATGAACAAGTAAATGTATCTTGGTCCTCGAAACATGAGGACTCAAAAAATTATTGAATCTAGAAGAGCCAACTAGCCATGGGGGTGAGAGGTAGGAGTGTCAGACCTTACATTAGCGAGACAATGTAGACACAAGTATGCATTAGTACATGAAATGTTATGAGGCAATATGCATAAAATAGGCATGATTGCATGAATGACTTGAAACATGTAGGCATGATCATTCTTTGAAAATTTAAAGACTAAATGAAACGGTGACAGGTAAATCATGAAATATGATCAAATGCTTTGAATTAAGAGATATAAGAAAAGCTTTGAAAAAACATAATTGTTTTATGGGATATTAACTTTAATCGACAATAGGACCACAAGAGCTATATCATGGAATTCGGTATATCCCTCATACAGAAAGAAAGGGAGTATACTTGCCAAGTTAGAATTTGTACATAGCATCATTTGCTAAAGTGGATCCACTAGTTAGGTCATTTAAGACAATTCTACGAGGCAACTAGTTTGGGACTAGAGGTCGTTACTATAGACTACCATATTTGAGCCTCCACCTCAAACCCCTCTCGGTGCTAAGTCTATGATTAACGTTTCAAAATACACCTCATCCAATTCTAGGTGCAAATGATCGTTAAACAGTAAAAAAAACCCAACAATTGAGTTGGGGTCGAATCCCACAGGGAGTGGTACGTGTTCTAATTCAATCAAAAAGTACGAATTTGATCTAATTAACCATAGGAATGGAAATTATCGAAAGAGACATAAAACAAATAAAAGGGGTGACACGAATGTCAGATGGGGGGTTTAGATTTGCAATTATCAACTACAATGCTATCAAATAGTAATAGATAACAATAAAGAGAGGAATTCTCGGGATGTGATCGATTATAGGCAAATTTCTATCCTGAATCAAATTATGAGGTGTAGTTCCTGAGTAATTACCTGTAGAGGCCGGGATAACGGAGTGAATCGGCCTGGCTACAAGTGTTGGCCTCCCTGAACCTCTGGAGTAAGATCCCTGAAAGTTGCCTGAATTTTTTTTCTTAGCCAATGCCTTAGCCTGACCGTCTCGCCTTACCCCCTCCATTTTCTTCACAAAGTCTGTTACCTCATTGAAGTGTTTCCCTACAGAGGTCATATGAACAGTTAATACTTGCAACTTAGAATTTAGTCCCTTAATAAATAAACAGATTCTCTCCTCCTCATTAGTCACCAATTGAGTAGCATATCTAGATAAGGCATGGAACTTGGCCTCATAAGCAGCCACATACATATCACCTTGCTCCAAAGCCATGAAATCATCCTTCTTATGATCCCTCAAAGTCCGAGGCACATACTTTTATAAAAGCAGAGCATGAAACTGGGTCCAAGTAAGTGGGGGTAAAACTGAAGATCTGCATTCCACATAAGCTCTCCACCACTGTTTAGCCTCACCTTGAAGCTGAAAAGTCACAAACTCAACCCCATGCTGATGGATAATTCTCAACTTATTAGGCCTCTCTTAGCATTCTAGGATGAACTCATATGCATCCTCACTCTCATATTTATGGAACACATGTGGTTTCAACTTCAAGAACTTAGTCAACTTCTCATGCTCACTACTAGTCATAACAGGACCCAATTTGTGGTGAGGGCACATGTTTAATGAGGTCTGATAGCTGATATATCTGTGGATC